TTTGATAGCAAACTTTTATTTAATGAGCACGTCGACTCGGTGGTCAACAAGGCTTCTCGCATGCTTGGATTTGTCATGAGATCAGCGACTGATTTCACTGATATCAGTTCCATAAAACTCTCTATTTTGCGTATGTATTCAGCATTTTAAATTATTGTTCTGTCATCTGGAATCCTAAATATGATATGTACGTGAAAAGATTAGAACTAGTACAAAAGAGATTCCTTCGATTTTTATGCCGAAAGTCTCATAACACCTATGTTGACTACGACTCGGCGTGCCAATCCTTTCGGTTTCTGAGACTGACTCAGCGACGTTTTGCTAGTGACGTATTGCTATTCTATAAATTAATTCATAATATCTATAATTCGACTTCGCTTACGTCTCTAGTGAATTTGCATGTTCCGCCCAGAACGTTGAGATATGATTTTCTCTTTTTCACTCCTACAACCCGCACTAATGCTTATCAACAATCCCCATTGTTGCGTGCCGTTCGTTCAGCCGATCGTCTGTCCATCGATATATTTGCTTATGAATCCATTAGCTCGTTTAAAAAATCGATCTTAGCTGCTGTTGGGAGCATGCCGTATCATTGTTAACATTACAATCAGCAATTCCTTATTGTTGTTATTTTTACTTGTTTATAGAATGTTTCCTTAATTTCAATCAGAATTTTTGATCGTTTATTTTATCTTATTTTATTTTATTGTTTTTACTACTGTTCACTACTGATGTTATTTTGTATCTTTATTATTTTGTTTTGTTCTTATTCTTTTCAGTGACACAGCTTTTAATGGGTTCGTCCTGTGCTGTGTCCTATGTACATAAATAAATAATTAAATGATTCGTTTTGTTACATAACGGAAACAAATACGTCGGTATACCCAATTGAAAGAGGAATATTATAATATCTCATTCGTTTTAAACAAGATAAAATATCACGAACATCAGTGGGTTATCTGTGTTGACTTGAAGATGGTAAATGTTCTACTCGGTCAGCAAGTTGGCTATACCAAGTTCCCCTGTTTTATATGTCTCTGGGACAGCAGAGCTAAACAAGAACATTGAGTAAGAAAAAATTGGCCTTTAAGGGAAAACATGGTACGTGATGAAAAAAAATATAATCAACTTACGGTTAGTCGCTCGTGACAAAATTATTCTGCCACCACTGCACATCAAGTTAGGCATCATGAAACAGTTTGTTAAGTCATTTGACAGAATTTAAACTGTTTTTCTTATATCTGCCGTAAATTTTCCAAGATAAGTATGGAGAAGATTAAAGCAGGTACATTTAATGACCCCCAAATTGGAGAGATTACAAAAGATAGCAATTTTACAGCTTCAATGACTGTACTTGAATTGAATGCTTGGTCAGCTTTTGTTTCTGTAATGCAAAACTTCCTCGGAAAGCACAAATCGGAAAATTATGTTGAACTAAGCTTATGTTACATTTGAAAAATTTAGGATGTAACATGAGTATCAAACTATGTTCTACATAGTCATCTGAACCGATTTCCTGTAAAAATGGAGATTTTAGTAAAGAACAGAGAGAACGTATGCATCGAGACTTGCGCGTTATGGAGGAGCGATATCAAGGTTTTTGGGATATCCATATGATAGCTGGTCCCTGATACGACATTTACAATCCACACACAATAGGAAATCTTTAAAGCGAAGTTTCTTGGAAGCAAATAAACTTTTCAATTCCAAATTTTTCTTACAATAAATTTTTATTTATTGTCTTTTCTTTGAGTAAATATATTTTTTAAGACGACTTACCTATATCTCGAGAACTACAGCTGATATAAAAATTTTATTTACATTTTCGGAATCAGCGTGCTAAAATTAGTCGGACACAGTAAAATGTTCTAAGGCAACAGATGTAGTGTAAGTTAGTTATAGATTATTTCCAATATCCTCATCATTCTGCCTGTTCTGGCATCTTCAATTCTGATTTATTTTTAGCTTATTTTATGTCATCATCTTTCAGGTTTTTATGGCTCGTGTTTTATTCTTCCTGATTCTTCTTAACTTCTTATGATACCTTCTTCTAAATTATTTCCATCATCCTTGCTGATTTCGTTTGGACGTTGATTCTCTTTTTTCTCGTTATTTTTCCAGTTTCTATTACGCCTCTTTTACGTTTCAATCGTAGTTGTGGCTTTTTTCTTTCTTGCTTCCTTCCTTTTTAGCTATTAGAAAAATCTATAATATGTAGGTTTAATTTACACAATGAGTTGCAATCGGGTTTTCGCAGTGGGCATAGTACAACTACTGCTCTCATTAAAGTTACTGATGATATTAGGTATGCCTGCGACAACAGATGTGTTACTGTGTTGGNCATACCTGATATTATGTTAATTAGTTTTCAATTTTTGGGACTCTAAAGTTAGAGAATTTTCTTATATATTTTACTGTTTTTCGCGGAATTTAAGGTGTTCCCGCCCAAAATCTGCGCCGCCAAAACTATGTTAGGCCCTACTCTACGAGATCTTTCTAATGAGCTATTAATCATTAAAATCGATACACAAACAAAAGAGTTTTTTTTATGGATAGAATTTATGGGTAACTTCACACGGGTTCTGAATTGTCCTCTCTCTCAATCCCACATAAATACCACCCACAAAACTGAGAACTATTTGATTTATCCTCATAAAAATAGAACATAGATAATAAATAATAGATCAAACTATGACAATCTCGTATAACAGTCTTTCTCTTAACCTTACTTCGAAACACACATGTGCAGTTCCAAACCCCGACTGTCCTTTTCTTCCCCCCCCATCGCACCACGACACAACCCCCCGCACTCACACTTCTGACACTATTCGACCTCCTGGTCGAAATCCCCTGTCACAAAGTCCTTCATCCATTCTGGCTTCTTCCGTACACGACGTACGGTGGATTCCGCTATAACCTCTTCGTTCTTTGTTCCATCATCCTCTTGTTCAACGTGGTCATTCGCATATTCTTGCTCGTCTTTTTCTGAATCTTCATTTGTTTCGTCTTCATCGATGCTATCTTCTTCGTTGTGATTCTGATACCCCTTTAATTGAGATACATGCGCTGTCGTTCTTCTTCTATCTTCTTCATTAATACTTGCCACACGATATGTGTCTGAGGGTAGTATCTGGGTTATTGTTAAAGGCCCACGAAACTTAGGCTGAAGTTTAATCGGTTCCCCAGATCCACCTACTGGCTGTCGTCTCATGAATACAACGTCTCCTACCATTCTACAGGATAGAATAGCTAACTTTTTTGTTCATATACAGGTCATCCACGACGACCGTCCATTAGAACTTTACAGGGTTCTGGCCAATACAAAAATTTGAAAATTCAGATTTAAGTATTATTAACCCTTAGCTACACGCGCTCTACGTTCAGACCTCTCTACACACGCGCGGTACTGCGTACCGCATTTGAACTTTTAACCGTTTCGTCGGTACAATGCGAAATATTAATACCAAAACTGATTCGTATGTTTGCAAAATATCAATAGTTAGTAAAACAAACGATTGGGAAACAAATTTATAATTATTTTTTTTTTAATTAAGACGACATTGCATCGTTAATACAAGATCTACATTTTGAAAATCTCTCACAATGGTTTTTGCACACAAACCTTGTGCACTCGGTACAACGTACGGTTGTTGTGTTATTTTTGTGTTTTCCGCATTCGTGGCATGGACCTCGTCTTCTTTGGTCAGGAACCGCTTGCTCCTCTGGGACATCTTGATATCTAGCCAGAAAACTTTTTATATCCTGCGGAAGGTTGGCTATCTTAGCTCTTTCTTTTAGGTGATTTTCAAGAAGGCTAAAAGACAATGACTCTAGAAAATCCATCCTCGTCTTTGGTTTCTCAGCAGTCATCATGTGATTGCCAACATATATAATATGGGAATTTACTCCCGCTATATCCAAAAATCTAAAAAACATAGTAAGCGGCCATCTCCGGGTTCTTCTTTTAGTCGAATAATTCCCACACTTTTCGTCAACTGCATCAACACCTCCTTTTGTCGCATTGTAGTCTAATATAATAATTGGTTTTCCATTCTCCTCGTCTACTTCTCCTTCGTCGTGCATTGTGGAAATAAGAATTACGCTTTTATTTTTTTTCGGAGCGTAAGAAACTAATGTGACGTCGTCTTGGAAACCAAAAATGGAAGACCCGACTTCCCGATTTTTATTGGGCAAGAATTGAGGTGGAATCTCGGGTTTGTTTTTCTTCATTGTTGCGATGAAGGTGAGTCCATTTTCTTTCAAATATATCGCTAGCTGATAACTTGAGTAGTAGTTGTCTACTGTGACATTCCTATTGCTGTTCAGAATGGTTGATACCAACCGTTTCACTATATCCATTGGTTTGTTGGAAACTGAAAATGGCCCGTCAGGTTGCTTCCCACAATATATTTCAAATCTAAAGACATAGTGGGTTTTGGCATCTGCTAACACATAGAGTTTGATACCGTATTTCCCAGGTTTATCAGGTAAGTAAACTATAAACCCACAGCGACCTCGGAACGGGTGTAACATTTCGTCTATTGTTACAAATTCTGATAGGCAATAATTGCGTTGACAATTTTCATGTAGATTGGTGTAAAGTTCCCTAATTGGTGCCAATTTATCCGTAGCCCTTCGTTGCTGCCGTGTTCTTTTATCGTCAAATCTAAGAGATTGCAATAAAAATCTAAATCTATTTATTCCAAATGTTGCTCTGCATATCATCATCCCAGTGCCATTCGTTTTCCAAGCTCGAGATGCGTTAGCTCGGCTGCTTTTGTTTATTCCTAAAAGGAATAAAATTCCCATTAACGCCATTATTTCGAAGCGTGTTGTTATCCTACAATCCCTCTCTCTTTGGAAACCCTGACTTTCCCTTTTCTTATCAATGTATACATTAGTGTGTTCTACAATTCTGTCAATCATGTTTAGATCAAACAATTTTAAAAAGACATCCATTTCGGTAGACACATCTTTTGCATTGCGCGTAGGCCCCTGCAAAATATTTAGGATATTTTTTGACTTAGATTTTGACTGAAGAGTTGTAGGCGAACTAAGCCAAAAAGTGTCACTATTTTTTCCTTGTGGCAAAAAAACTTCGAAATCAGATGTCATCGCCAGGTCTTCTTCACTCTCGTCTCCTGATTGTTCGTCGTCACCTTCGTCCCTCTCCTCCAAAATAGTTTCTTCTTCACCTTCACTATCGTCTGTGAAATCGTAAGGGTCTTCTTGCTGCTCTTGTATTTCATGGTGAGAGAGTTCTTGAAGTACTCGCTCATAATCCTCAGGCTGCACTTTTCTACGCAAATTACGCCTGGTCTTACGTTGTCCAGATGTGCTTGCCCTAAGAAAAAAGAATGAATCAACCTGAATGTATACCTGAGTTACGCCAAGTACTCTTTTGCGCATTGCGGGGACTAAATTTTTCTGCAATTACATGATTTCTTCGCTAGGTCCGTACCATTAGACCGGTGAAAGATTGAGAGCGGACACGGTTCGGTTTTCTCTGTCTGAGATACAGCAACCATGTAATGCGGACAAAGAAAACTGAATCCGCGTCATCGGTTATACTTATAGAAACTTGTACTTACATTTTATGCGTAAGACACACTTCACTATAATTAAAAACTTTATAACTTTTTTCACACGCGCGTGGTACTAAACACTGCCAACGACACCCTTACAGATAAATACATGTGCGACCTCTCGTTTTCATATAACTCGGGGAATACCCTAATGTTCCATTCTTGGAACACCGAGAAAAAACGGGTTAAAAAATTATACTTATAAAAAATGAAAATGTACATAAAGGCATCAACAATATGAAAAAAGGAAATTTGGATAATAATAATATATATGTACGTACATTTTGTACGTAACACACTTCACTATAATTAAAAACTTTACAACTTCTTTCACACGCGCGCGGTACTAGATACCGCCGACGACACCTTTGCAGGTAAACGTTCAAAACTCATCCGTACAGGCATATTTCTTTTTTATTTCACGTGGTACGTTAAGTAGGCATCCCATTTGAAGAATACCTAAACAGTCAAGGGATGTTTTCAAGAAATAACGGTTTTATGACATAATTTAAAAAAATGCGGTACTCTGTACCGCGGCGCGTGTAGCTAAGGGTTAATTGCGTTCTCTTCGACTAAAATATTTTCAGATTTCTAGCACTTCTGGTTATACCGGAAGTCGCCACCTACTTTATTTTTTAAATGGAACACCCTATATATTTTTACATATAACTTTACTTTTTGCAATTTGATTCGGCCGTTCTCGAGTTATTCGAATTTTTCTAGAAAAATCTGCTCCAGCAGACATTTGTTAAAAAAATCAGAGAACACTCGATTTTTGGGATATCAATTTAGGATTCAGAACATACGTAAGCAACATGATGAAGTATGTTTTGGTGCCGAGTACGGCTGTCTAGATCGTTTGGTCACTTTACTACAGCACGTTAACTTTTCGAAATTTGGGAATACCATAACTTCATTTTTTTAAATGGCACCCCCCATATTTTATTACTTAGTCGTCTTCGGTGTCTCATTTTACATCTTTTATATCCCATATGTCCTATACCTAACATTTATAGTTTAGGAGATAATTAGGGTTTTTTGAAAAATGCACACATATATCGATATTTAACCTAGTGTGCCATGCATACCTAGTGTGACCCAGTGTATAACCATATGAACTGGCCTTTAGAAAATTTGCAGACTTCTGTGTTTGATGCCAGCTTCTTACTAAAATATTTTCAGGTTCCGGGTGCTTGCGGTTACACCGGAAGAGGTGACAATTTTCATATTTCAAATGGAACACCCTGTATTTTGAATTGTCAAATTTGTATTTTGGCCAGAACCCTGTAAAGTTCTAATGGACGGTCGTCGTGGATGACCCTGTATAATTCTTTTTCGTTACGGTGCGATTAATTGATTAAAAAATGGGAAAAATGACAAACAATTTGATTTTGTTGAGTTGTTTTAGGCTGTAGCAAAATAACGGAGAGTCCGATTTATGCCATCAATACCTCAAAATATTCGTCTGGATCTCTACTTTCATGTCCATATAGCTACAGAAGCACACTATGCAAAATAAAAAATATACTGAGCATGAACCGTTACTATGTTTTTTAATTTACGATTTTACACCTTTTTGGGTATATCTCAAAAACTGGACGTGATGGAGAAAAATTGAAGACAGTCACAGTGCCACAACATATCAGTCTTCGAGATTTTTCTTATAAACTAGTGTTATTAATAAAAGTGAACACAGAAAATGATCCAAGCGCGAGGAGAAAAAAGCAATAATAGAATAGCAATAGGTATAAAATTGAACAAAAAACAGAAAATGACCGCAAATAATCAACACACGTGAAAAAATCAGCCCATACTACGTTGATGCTGAAAGGCCATTATTTTTTTTGGGTTCGCGACCGCAGATTTTTTCTTTTGTCTTACACCAAAGGCGTCGGATTCCTCATAGCCTTTAGACCCTCAAGGTCGTTTTGGAAGAGTATGGTATGGAAACTTATACCAGCTTTAACAAAAATTCTTCCATCATTAGTCCAGACATTCGTATTATCGAATAATTCTCTAGCTTTTTTAAACACTTCTTGTCTATTCCTGGATAACGACTCAGTGACCAATCTCTTTGAATTCTTTTTATTTGACCATATAATGTGTCTATCGGTTGACCCCTCCGTCCTTTGTACATCTGCCTAAGCGATGGTATCGGTCGGTCATGTCGATAGTAGAAAATTTAATATATAACCTCAAGGACTTTGCTTTCCAACTCGTCAACCGACTCACCCTTATCATCTATTCCTTCAATGATTCCATGAAACACGAGGCAGTTCCGTCTTGAATAATTTTCAAGAATATCAATCTCCTTACTGTTATTTGTAATCAATGTCTTCAGGGTTTCGAAACGTTCTCTCACATATTTCTTAAAAGAATTGAAATCCATGACAATCTCCTCGAGTGAATCTGAAGATTGAATTTCAGTACTCGGCTTCGACAACGCCGCAACTTTATCAATTTTGATCTGAAACTCTGCTAATGTTTTGATTCACTTTTGTACCATTATTACTATTGTGAACTGTAATTTTATTTGTATACAATTGGTTGTTTGTGGTACAGTGTTGTTGCGTTCGACCTGTTTTTGTACCCACATGAGATTATTATATCAATTCTTTTGTTACTTCTCTTAATCATTTAGACAAATTTTCAATGATAATAAACAATAAATTATAAAACGAAATTATCATGAATCATTCAAGAATCTCGATATGGTATATAAAAGAACATGTTTTTCCAATTTAGTAAAGTGAGTAATTTATTCAATTATATACCTACTTAAATTAATTACTTTCAAAATACATCAAAAGGAAAAAATATGTTGTTGAAAGATTTTATATATATAAGAATTAAAAAAAATTTTTACTTTAGTCTTTATTCAAACATGAATCGTATATTATATGGACCGGATTTTTTAACTCCAATTCCAACAGATCCGATTGGAATTAGGTTGTTTGAAAAATTAAAAGAAAAAGGAGATGACTTTTTATACGTAAAAAATTTAAAGGTAATTATTTTTTGTTATTAATTTGACTTGATTTTCAGATTGATGCCTCAACTGACCAAAAACTTACAAACAAAGACTTTTTAACTTTATGTTGCAAATTAGCTAAAAGTCTTCAAAATCGTGGGTTTAAACAAAACGATGTTTTAGCAATTTCAGCTGAAAATAGTATTTTTTATAATGTTCCCGTGGTTGCCGGGTTATTTCTTGGGATGATTTCTGGATTTATTAACCAAAATTACACCAAAAGTAATTTTTTTAATCGAATAATTAATTTTTATAATTTCAAATAATTTCTAGATGAATTTTTGCATCTCTTAAATATATATCAACCAAAAATCGTTTTTATATCTTCAAAATTATTACAATTTTTTGATATCAACCAAGATTTAAAAGTAATAATTTTGGATGAGGAAGAAATTCCTGGATATGATAACCTAAAAATGTTCATCAAAAAAAATTGCGACCAACATTTTTGCATCGAACATTTTAAACCTGCAAATTTTAACACCACTAATCAAACCGCTTTTATTGCATCATCTTCTGGCACAACCGGTTTATCAAAAGCAGTTATGATAACTCATGATAACATCGGAATAACAATAAATATATTAGAGTAATACCAAATTAATTCCTCCCATTCTAAATCACTTAATCAAATTTATTTTTAGCGATCCAAAATTTTCTGTAGCTAAAGAAGCAACCGCTTTACTATTCATGCCAAATTTCCACGTTTACGGATTATTTATGAATATTTCCGGAATTATCAAAGGCAATCAAATGGTTGTAATGAAAAGATTTGACGAAAAAATTCTCCTAAAATCGATCGAAAAATATAAAATAACAAATTTACCGATGGTTCCAGCGATAGCTTATACTTTAATTAAAAGTACTATCTTTAAAGATTATGATGTTTCATCGGTTGAAGAACTTTACTGTGCGAGTACTTCATTAAGTACAAAAATCGAACAAGATCTCATCAAATTATTTCCTAAATTGAAAAGTTTTTGTCAAGCTTATGGTTTAACTGAAGCAACATTAAGCGTAACTTTAATGCCAATAAACGAAACAAAACTTGGATCATCTGGAAAAATAGTTCCTGGAATGTCGATTTGTTTTTGCGATGAACTTGGAAATCGTTTAGGTCCAAATCAACCCGGTGAGATTTACTTAAAAGGAAGAATGATCACCAAAGGTTATTATCGTAATCCAGAAGCAACGAAAACTACTTTCATCGACGGTTGGTTACACACAGGAGATGTTGGTTACTACGACGAAGAAGGTTACGTTTTTATCGTCGATAGAGTCAAAGATTTGATTAAATACAAAGGATTTCAAGTTCCACCGGCTGAAATCGAAGGAATTTTAATAACCCATCCAGAAGTTAAAGCAGCTTGTGTTGTTGGTAAACCAGATGAATTAGCGGGCGAGTTACCTACTGGATTTGTGGTTAAACAACCAAATTCAAATGTAACCGAAGAGGAGTTGATTCAGTTCGTAGCCGGTTTGTAATCATTCTATTCCGATCCGATTTTTAATAATTACATTATTTATTTTAAGAGCGTATTTCAAAAACGAAACATTTACGTGGAGGAATTTATTTTATGGAAGATTTACCAAAAACATCGTCTGGAAAAGTAAGAAGAAAGGAGTTAAGAGATTCTTTAATTTCTTAAAATAATTTCGTAAAACGATATGTTAATGCAATCAGGGCAGTGCCAAACAAGATGTCAAAGATAATTTAGAAATATGTCGTGGGCAATGTAGAAGAAGATAAAGGAACATTCTATATGCATTTATTTTTGTTTTCCAATAGTTTTGTGTATGTTCTTTCGAATAAATATGGTTATTAAGTTATTATTTACAATTTTGTACTTTTTAACCCTTTGTGTCCCGACGGTACTTTAAAGTACCGGTAGTTTTAAACACTCATTTTAAACTGTAGTCATCTATTCGACGCATATAGAGCTCTCGGTACTTTCTACTATACAAGAAAGAACCTATATAAAAAATGACGCAATCCACACTGTAGGGTTTTAGGTACATTTAAACTTATTCATCCAGATGTGAGGTTAGAAGTTTAGTGAAAAGTGGTGTTGCTGAATTTTGTTGTTCAAAAGGTATATCTTTGATAAATGGTTATTAGGTGTGATTTGGTACGTAAAGGTACCGGCAGGATAATAACAGGTACAATATTGAGATTGATGTAAAAATGAGCTAAGCGAATAAAGATACGTTTTGGTACTTGAATAAAGCTTTGACAGATGAAGAGCTTGAAAAGTTTGTGTTGAATTAGAAAATCTTCCGTTGCATAATTCGAGAAAATGGAAAAAGCGGAAAAAACAGACTGAAATTCGAGGATACGATTATCAAGAGGGAATAATTGTTGATACTTTTGCAACTTGCAATAATCCTACAGATTATTTTCTAACACTGATGGGTAACTGTGTGAAAGATATTACCTTTTAAACACTAAAGTTGAAAGAAGAAGAGTTACTATGTTTCCTTGGCATAAATTTCTTAATGATTTATCACAGTTTGCCAAGCTATAAACTCTTCTGGAGTAATGCTAAAGACTTAGGTGTACCACTTCCCATTAAACAAATTTGCATTTTAGAAACATTTCTGATATATATTATTGAAACATGAAATGTTTCTTCGACATATTTCTGAAACATAGTTGAAACGTGTCTGAAACTGCTAATGTCCGGCCCTTTTTATGTTTCATTGAAACGTTTCTATTGAAATGTTTCTGCAACATACAGTTGACAATTACGGTACATTACTAAAATGTTTCAATAACGGTTTTGAATTATTTCTGAAATGTTTTAACATTCCTTAAGGAATGTTACGTAAGGTTAGTTCTGTTTACAAACATTAATTATAGCGTGAAGTTTTCTTTAGTAATTAGTAATGCCAATCATAGCGTGAAGTTTTCTTTTGAAATGCCAATTAAACCGTGAAGGAATGTTACGTAAGGTTAGTTTTGTTTACAAACATTAATTATAGCGTGAAGTTTTCTTTTGAAATTAGTAATGCCAATCATAGCGTGAAGTTTTCTTTTGAACTGTCAATTAAACCGTGAAGGAATGTTACCTTAGGTT